TTTTCCTAGGGTATTGTCTAAAATGTTTTGGAGTGCCGGTTTGGTATTCATGAAGTTCCTGAGGTGCTCTTTATCATGAAAGTATCTTACTTCTCCATCAATTTTGAAAGATAGTTTTGCAGGGTACATCAATCTGGGTTGGAGGCTGATATTTTTCTTTTTCTTTTTTTTCGATGAACAAAAATAATTGTGGAATTACTGCAGCTGTAATTGCTGCTGCACTGTGTGGAAATGTACCCGTTTGCAGCAGGTAATTTCTGATCGGGAAGCACTGGAGGCTGTGAAGCTGGGGAGCAGGCCTGAGAGAAATAGAGAGACTTGGCTGACCCCAGAGAATCAATTAAAACTCACCCAGTAGCCACGGGGAGAAAGAATTTGTTAATCATTGAGTTGCATCTATATCAATGATGCAAGTTACTGCTTAGACTTACAGACTAGAAGAGATCTCAGGGGACCAGAAAACCCAGTTCCTGTCTCACATTCCCTCTTAGCACTTTTCTACACTTGTGAGATCTTTGCCCAGCCATTTTCCTTACCAAAAAAAAAAAAAAAACCTGAGTCCAAGACAGTGCAGAGTTCTGGGCTCAGGATAAATTACTTTCCCAGCCTTATGTGTGTTTGTTTTGTTTTGTTTTCATGATCTCTAGGAAAGAGGTGACACAGTTCTAACTTGTTGGGTCAATTGCACTGTCTTCAGCTGCAACTTAAGGCCTGTTTTATCTGAAAATATTTGTGGGTTGCCCATCAGCCACTGATCCCTGTTTTCTTATTCCCATGGTATGCATCAGTTCATTTTCCTTCTCCTTGCTTTCCCCATCTCCCTCCAGCAACACTACCCCCAGACACTGCAGCACCCCACCCGCAATGTACCTGTCTGGAAACACCACCCAGAGTGAAAGGGACTCTGCTGTACCTGGATGAACAATTTCACAGCACCTGCAGCATTGGTCCAGTGCTGCCTTTCACCTTGCCAGTAAATCCTCTGGCAGGGCAACTGGTACTCAGCACTCCTGCCTCGGGAACATGTAGAAATTTCTGAGAGGGCTACATTTTCTCCTCTCCTGCCAGAGTTGCATTTTTCACCCTCTTAGCTCCTGCCACATGTGCCCACTACTTCCCAGGAACTTGTGTACAACACTGAATTCTGCTGCTGAGGCAGGAGGATGGACAATACTCTGTCCAGGGAAAGACAGAACTTGTGGCTCAAAGCCCTTCCATATCATGATGGGAGCAGAACAGATGTCTCCAAGGCAACTTGTTTTTGTAATCCAGGTGCAGAAATATAACCAAGGCATGTGGGGTGGCTGTTGTATTGGAGGCTTGGTTTTCAGCATTGCACTGGCCATGAGGGCAGATGGACTGACTTTGACTTCTGGCTCTGCTGCTGTCAGACTACA